TTAAAGTCCCTTTTTATAAGATAACCCTGCTCTGTAGCATCTGCTCAAGATATTTAAACCGTCCAAAATGCTGATATTACCTAATTTTTATCTTGCCACCAGGTGGCAGCATGTTACATAAGGAAGTAATTTAAATATTCTATTGAAGATCATTTATTTTCAATATTTTGCTTTAAAAACTGTCCAACCGTAATAAAAATAAAATAGTATCCCGTGTTCCCCTCTGCTTCTATTTTCCACAGTTGGTTTTAAAGGCCCTGTTGGCACGATATCCGTGATGTAGTGAGACCTGACTCAATCCTGCGCTGCATTCACCTGTCGCTTAGTGCAGAAAGTTTTTTTCTTTCATCTTTGTGGAGATTTGACCCCTTGGGCTTAGTTTCTGCCAACTAAATGGTTTTATTCCTACCTAAATGGTTCCTGTTGTTCAGCATCAATAATCCTCCTCATCTTTGTATCTTCCATGATACCTACAGAAGTTCTGAATATGTTGCAGCAGTTTTTTTAATAATAAAGACAGGGTCTTACTACATTGCCCAAGCTGATCTTGACCTCCTGGCCTCAAGCAGTCTTCCTGCCTAGGCCTTCCAGAGTGCTGGGATTACAGGTGTGAACCTGGCCAGTGACAACAGTTTAATAGGTGCCCTTGGGTAAATGTCAGTGATGTGTAAGATACATATTAGCATGTGTATTCACTGAGTGTTTATTTGAATTACAACACATTTATAGTCTTTTTGTGGTTATGTTTGTTTCAAGTCTGCTGCTGAAGTCCCTGAAATTTTGCCTTAAGTTTAGGTATTGTCACAATCATTCAGATTAATTGCTGCCAAACATTGAAAGATTAGTATTTGAGGTGGAAAGCAAGAGAATGAATGGCTAATGAAGAAAAGGAAGGTAAAGGACCGAACGTGGCAGTTAAAGCATGGGGAAAAGGAAGGGCTAGTGGTAAAATGAGAGAGGCAGGCTTCTGATATTGGAACAGAGCATGCGCCACATGGGGAAGCAGGAGGACCACCAAATTCAGTTGGCTGCAGAGAAATCTGTTTACACTTCATAATGGTAGATCTGCCTAGACATTGTTTCATGGTGCAAACAATGAAGTCATTGAAACAGATGAAATCATTTGACATCAGTTTGTCAGCAAATATTTTTTTCTATTCTGAAACCTGTTAGTTTTGCCTACTGCTTGCCCCTTAATGAAGTCTTAAAAGAATTGCCCCCAAAGAGATGGTGTACATAAGCAAAAAGAAACCAGCATTTCCTGTAAGCCCACTGTACCCTGTACATATTTCCTTGCTAAGGGTAATTGAGTTTAACAAAGGTGGTTTAAGTATCTATGCTGTTTTAGGTATTGTGCTAGAGATTCAAAACTACAGTATGTTTAATATCTATAGATAAGGCATTTTTAAGGGAATAGCTTAACCGTTTAAATGAATTCTGTGAAGAACATTAGTACTGCCTTGAGATACTTACCAAGCAATACTTAAAATGTGTTTTTGTATATTATATATATATAGAATTCAATGGCCTAAAGATAGATTAGAAACATCTATACCTTAAAAGAGTTTATATATGGGATTGATATTTAATGAACAGTAAAATGATCAATTCTTTAAAATCCTAGCCAGTGTATTGTATACATACATATTTGTTATCTTTTTGGAAATGTTTTGCAACTTAAATAGGGGAGATTTTATCTGTGACACCCAAGGCTCTTAGACATTTTATTTGACCTCTTATAAGCCTTAGTATTTGGTTAGTGTTCATTATGTTTAGGAACTTAGCAACTTCGAAGTTCATAGCCACATATTGTGTGTGTGTGTGCGCGGGTGTGTGGGGGGGTGTGCATGCGCGCGCTCATGTGCGCAAAGCCTAGTCTTACTGCAAATAGCCACGTACTTTTAAAACAGGTATATTAATGTCTACATTTATCATGCTGGGTTTCAAATGCAAAGGACTCATTAAAATTGGTCATTAATCACTTTGTAATAGATATTAAATATTAATATTTGTCATGAAGTATGTAAAACAACCCGTATGCATAGTATCCTCTACAATATGCTCAGAGGGTAAAAAATTTTTTATTTTATTGTCTATAATGTATAATCAGAGATTGAACGACCAAGTAATACAGCAATGTCAAAAGACTATTAGTTATATTTCAGTTGTAACGAAGTTAATTGCATGCCTTTCGGATAAAAAATACTGTACATCGTCAGTTCATCTGCTACAACTATGCTTAAAAGTGCTTAGTAAAAGTATTCAGTACTATTTAGGTAATAAAATTAGTAGTGACTTATGAAATTTTATATAGCATCACTTCCTGAAGCCCGTTTTTAAAGTGATTTATTAACCAGATGGGCAAAAAGGCAATTTTTAATAAATTGGCACGTTTAATAACTTTTGTAGTATAAAAGCGCTTGTTTTATATGATGTTATAACTCACTTATGGGGCCTTGTAGTTCAATCTAACATTCTAGTGAAATGTGGACATGTGGATGCTCCTGGAAGCACTTCCAGCCCTATGAATTTACGTATCTGTTGACTTCAGTATTTAGTTAGTTTGGTTTCTAAAGCCATCACGGTAATTGACATGTTATTGGAAATAAAGTTAGGTTTTTCCTTATTTATAGGAATAACCTTAATTTTGAAGAATGTGAATCAATTCATACTTGGCTGAAAGCCAGTTCCCTCTTCACTTTAGCTCCAGCATATACATGGAAAGCGCACTCGGCGTCCTAAGTGCCTTGTGAATCTGCAGTGATTAATTCTTCTCATTATTTTGCTGCAAATTCTCATGACCCTCTGTGATGATTCGATCAGCCACTTAGAGTTTATGCATATTCATATCTCTGTGCTCCTGCCGCAGACATTCAAATCTCCTTCACTGACTGGTGTGTGCTTGGTGCAGTAATTGAGCTGCAGTAGATTGATTACTCAGGGGAGCTGTAAGGCCTTTAAAGGTGAAAACATATCAGTCCTGTTAATTAGGAAACAAAAGCTCTGATGGCAAGTTCAGCAGTCAAATATTTCCAGTGTAGAAAGATGAAAGGTATCATTTGTTCCTCTCCATGAATCCTGTTTACTTTTTAAACTTTGAATTAGGTCTGTAACAGTGGTAATGGAGTATAGCTTTCTTTTATGAATTTTTATAGAGTACTAATTGAGGAGGACTTTATTTATTATATTGATTGGTACTGTTATCTGTGATCTGTCAAATCTGATAGCTTAGAACCTATTCAGAGTTTGTATGCCTTCTACAGCATTGGTAATATTTATAAAATCTCTAAATATTTTACATAGAGAATCCTTGTGTATAAATTTTGGTATGTATAGGCTTATTTTGGTCTGCAGTATTCTAATGCTAGTTTTTTATTTTGACAATTTAATGGTATACTATGTGGGAAAAGAGTGAAACTGTAACATGGCAAAGAAGTTGAGCTGCCTTTTATCTCTTTATCATAAACACCCTTTTTTTTCTCTTTTAAACTATATACTAAATAATACATTATTGGCCGGGATCACACCTGTAATCCCAGCACTTTGGGAGGCTGAGGCTAGCGGATCACGAGGTCCCAGAGATCAAGACCATCCTGGCCGAAATGTTGAAACCTCATGTCTACTAAAAATACAGACTGGGCATGATGGCACGCGCCTGTAATCCTAGCTACTCAAGAGGCCGAGGCAGGAGGATTGCCTGAATGCAGGAGACAGAGGTTGCAGTAAGCTAAGATCGCACCACTGCACTCCAGGATGGTGACAGAGTGAGATTCCTTCTCAAAAAACAAAAAAAAAAAACCACAATAATACATTATCATGACCAAAAAAAAGGCCCTGTGTGGAACTGTATCCTCCAAAAGTAAGCTAGTTTTTACGTGGAGGATTATGCAGTTTACTTAATAAAAATGTGTTTTTCTCATATGTGCTATTCTCATGTTCCAGTATTCTTTTTTTCTCTCATGGTCATGATGTTTTGAGATATAATTCACATACCATAAAATTGATCCTTATAAATAAAGTATACAGTTCATTAGCTGGGCAAGGTGGCACACACCTGTAGTCCCAGCTACTCGGAGGCTGAAGTGAGACGATCACTTGAACCAGGAGTGGAGGTTGCAGTGAGCCGAGATCACACCACTGCACAGAGTGAGACCCTGTCTCAAAAATCAGTCAATCAATCAATCAAATCAGTGGTTTTTAGTCTATTCACAAAGTTGTGCAACCATCACTACTATCTAATTCCAGAACATTTTAGTCATCCCAAAAAGAAACCTCATACCCATTAGCATTCTCTCCCCATTTTCCTTTCCATCTAGCTTCTAGCAACCAGTATTCTACTTTCTGTCTCCATGGATTTGCCTATTCTGGACATTTCATATAAGTGGAGTTGTGCTATTGTGGCCTTTGTGTCTGCCTTCTTTGATTTAGCACAGTGTTTTCAAGGTTCATCCACATTGTAGCATGAATCAATACTTCATTCCTTTTTATGGCCAAATAATATTTTACTAATTGAATATCCCAAATTTTGTTTTTCATTGATTGATGAATATTTCTGTTGTTGGCACTTTTTGGCACTCGTGAATATGCTGTTTTTAATGGTAGTGAGCATGTGCATACATCCTTGCTTTGTTCTTAATCTTAGGGGGAAGGCTTTCAGCCTTCATCTTTGACTGTGATGTTAGGTGTAGTTTTTCTTAGATGCCATTCTTTAGATCAGTTGAGGAGTTCCCCTCTATTTCTAATTCATCGTGTTTTTTTTATCATGAAATGTTGGGTTTTGTCAAATGTTTTTTCTGTGTCTGTTGATCATGTGGGCTTGTTCTTTATTAATATAGTGTATTACATCAATTCTTTATCAATATATTATGATCTTTATTCTTTATTAATATAATATATTACATCTATTGACTTTCATATGTTGAACATTATGATATTCTATATGTAATGTTATTTTACTGCTTTGGTTTTATATAATATGAACCAATTTCTCTATATTTCAGGCATTTATTAATACAGCAAAAGAAATTTATGAAAAAATTCAAGAAGGAGTCTTTGACATTAATAATGAGGTATATACATATAAATATTGTCAATATGAATTTAGAATTCACTTTTAATTACTATTTGGATTTATTGTTTTATATTTTTTTAATTCCTAAAATCAATCATGATAATCAGTTAACACCGTTAGTTTACAGTCATCCAACTGAAAAATTGGTGTATGTGGTATAGTAGTTAAATATTTATGTTCTAGTAGAGCATCACTTTATGAAAATGGATTAAAGTAAGTGGCCCTATCCATTTACTGCAAACAATGCAAAATAATATAAATCCCCCAAAGAGAAAAGAAAATCCACTTTTATCCACATGTCCATATGGTGTCATCTGCTTTGGGAACAATTTTCTAGTATATAAATGCATGTACTGTGTAATAATGCAAGATGCTTTCTCTGTTGTCTGGTAGGAAAGAGGGAAATACTAAATTTGGAAATTACTCCCAATATATTGCATAGCATGTTTTCAGGAGACTAAATTAATATAAATATAATTGGCATTTGGCATTGGGTTTTTTGCAACGTTATTTTGATCCTGTTTTGGTCAACATGATTAGAATAAAATGTAAGGCTTTGAAGCATCTAATTCAGAGTGTTCACCAAATAACATCATTTGACCCACATCCCCACTCTGCATTTATCTATATTTATTTCAAAATGTTTATGTGGATATAGCATGCTTACTTTTACATAAATGTTTTCGCCATTCTGTAGTAAGACATCTGGCTTCTGAAAGAAAAGCCCTGGTTTATCCCTAGTTGCAGTTAGAAAAGTATTGTGTTAGGAAACCATAATATGTCTCTCTCATCCTGTGCATAAATGAGGCTCTCTGTTACTTCAGTAGTCTCTGCTAAAACAAACAGCAGTTTGCCTAAGGTTTCCAAAAAGTACATAATTCTCTCATTGTTTAATTTGGAGTAATGTAGTTTCTAAATCCTATCTTCTATGCTTATATGGCAGTACTTCTCCAGTTAGTTTAAAGGTGACACCATTCAGAGAATAATGCCATATAAATTGAACAGTAATTGGGCCTCTATCTAAAAGGGCACATTCATTGTTTCTGTCTGGTTTCATATAGTAGCTGACTGCTTTACTGTGCCTTATGCAGCTTTGATTGTAATGTGCTGTCAGGAGCCAACAGGCCGTGCTATTTATTTGGCCTAATGCCAAGTCTGACTCCTTGATTCCTCAAGAAGTTGCTACCAGCCCAGAGGGGGCAAAACCAATGAGCCATAGGGCATGCTTTTTATTAAAGAGGAGTCAAAAGAGCGAAAAGAAACCACATCAGCTGCTGTCAATACTGAGCTAGTGCCAGAAACCCCAAGGCTACTACTGTTGCAGAACAACTGCCAAGCACTATAAATCTGAGATTTACTGTGACGTAAAGTTTCCTTAAGAGCTTAATTTCTGAAGCTACTGTATTACTTTTCTCAAAGTGTTGTATTTTTAGGTAAAATCCACTTGAGGGAGTGAGGGTTAAGACATAAGTGTGAGTTTGATGAATGAAAGAACTACTCTGTGTGTGGGTTCTTGGCAAGCTGCCATGTCTTTGGGGATCATAGAAATTATTGATGACACAGAACACTCATATGCCCTTAGCCTGTACAGCTGATTCAACATGGAACAGAAACACTGTCTAGAGAAAAGGTTTTACGTTGTATTAAAGCAGCATGGGCTTTGGATATTTTTATCCTTTAAAGATTTCTTGCAATAATTATTTTAAACGATTTCTGCATTATGAGAATTTCCTGAAAAACAGCATTATCCAATTTCTGTTTACCCAGTACCTGGTATGATGAAGAATTATTTTCAGAACATTACTTAAGAGATACTGTTTTAATTGTTGCTAAAACCTACTTACTGTATTTTTCTCAATGTTTGATACAATTGCATCATTAAGAATTAAATGAGTTATTTTAAGAACCTAATTAAACTATATTGTCTGGTTGTATCTGGTCATATTTATTGTTCTGTTCTCTTTTATTTCAGGCAAATGGCATTAAAATTGGCCCTCAGCATGCTGCTACTAATGCAACACATGCAGGCAATCAGGGAGGACAGCAGGCCGGGGGCGGCTGCTGTTGAGTCTGTTTTTACTGTCTAGCTGCCCAATGGGGCCTACTCACTTATTCTTTCACCCTCTCTCCTCCTGCTCAGCTGAGACATGAAACTATTTGAAATGGCTTTATGTCACAGAAGACTTTAACCCTTCAAATTCTTGTATAACTTTGAATAAATGGTTAATGTTCACTTAAAAGACAGATTTTGGAGATTGTATTCATATCTATTTGCATTTGATTTCTAGGTCAATTGATGTGATTATTTTTGTTAAATGTTGTCTTGTGCCCTTAACTACGAACTGGATTGTATTAAACACTACAAAGTCATCTTGAGTATTTTAAATTGGTTTGTGTAGTTAGGTTTCCCAACACCTGTGGTTACCTAATGTTTAATAATACAGAACTGTCCTCAAAAACTTTGTCAATTTTCAAGGCTATAAGGAAACAGACGGACTCTTTTAATTCTGTATTTATCATTTACTTTCTGTGTATATAGTTTAATAACCTGCTTGGGTGTAATTTGCCAAGCTTGAATTCTTTAATGCATTTGCATAAATTCTATACTGTTTAGAGCTTAAAGCTACAGAAGCATTGTTAGGAATTGCTTGGACACTGAATTTTAAACTTTTTGACATTGTTAACAAGCATGTTCATCTTTTCTTGTCACTAGTCCAAGAAAAATATGCTTAATGTATATTACTAAAGGCTTTGTATATGTTAACCTGTTTTAATGCCAAAAGTTTGCTTTGTCCACAATTTCCTTAAGACCTCTTCAGAAAAGGATTTGTTTGCCTTAATGAATACTGTTGGGGGGAAAAACACACAGTGTAATGAGTGAAAAGGGCAGAAGCAAGAAATTCCTACATCTTAGCGACTCCAAGAAGAATGAGTATCCACGTTTAGATGGCACATTATGAGGACTTTAATCTTTCCTTAAACACAATAATGTTTTCTTTTTTCTTTTATTCACATGATTTCTGAGTATATTTTTCATGCAGGACAGTTTTTCAACCTTGATGTACAGTGACTGTGTAAAATTTTTCTTTCAGTGACAAACTCTATAATCTTGAAAATATGGTAAGCATCTTGTCTGTTTTGAAGGGGATATGACAATAAATCTATCAGATGGAAAATCCTGTTGCAAAGTAGAAAAGCTTTAGTAATTTACTCAGTGTGGTGGTTTTATCCTTTTTTTCTTTTCCTCCCTTGGTCTATAATGAAATTGTTATAGCAGTGCAAAATAAAATCCTATGTATAAAAGTGTTCTTTTTTTTTATTATGACCACCTCTTTTTAAATGTATTTTTAATCCACTTACAGCTTTAACATGTGTTTAAGCATGTGTTTTAAAAGGATCAGAATGTTTAACACTTCCTTTTTTAAAATTTTGCTAAAATGCAACAAATCTCACTGTATTGAAATTCTTTTTATTGGTGGTGTAAACAGTGTAAGCAAGTGTTTTCTACTCCTCAGCTACCACAAAAGCACTTACACCTGAAGGAAAGCATAAAGAAGTTCTAACTCTGAAACTACTTTGACTTTGCTCACTGCCTTCAACTTTCTACAGGTCTTCCCTGAAGATTCAGCAATACTCTGTCAAAAGTTTGACAGTACTCTTGTGGGAAATTACGAAATGCTATTATAGTTTTGTTTCAACTGTCTTCTTGAGGGCAGAGAGAAAGGTGAGAGAAAATCTCTTTTCATGAGTGTTTGTAATACAGCCTTTTCTTCTTTCAAGTGGCCATATCAAATTCACTGATCTTACTAATCACTCTCTTTACCAATGAGTAGAAAAAGTTAAGCTGGCTAGGACAGGCTCTGCTCTATACCAAGAAGAGAATGATTCTTTGGAAATTGTTATTTTTAAGCTTCTGTTAACTTTTCCAGAAGTTTAATGTGTTTTGTTTCCATGCTCTCTACCCTCTTTTATAAATCAAGTATAAGATAAATTAATAGCAAAAAACAGCAACAAACCACCACATGCATTTTATTATCCTAAGAAGATACGGAGTCCTCAAATATAACTCCTTCCACCATCACCCTAATGTGCCTCAGTCTGGGGCAGCGGGTGGACTTCTTAATAGTTCATTTCCACATTCTCTACAAATCACATCTACCATTAAGGAATATGGTATGAATCCTTCCTGTTAATTGACAAAGCAGTGTTATTGTCTGTGATTTCCACTCTTTGCTCATTTTATTATCTCTGTCAAATAATGTAATACTGGTACCTGCAGTTGAATTTGTAATACTGTAATTGAATATTTAGTTGATCTTTGATCAGTTTTTATAGCATCTATCGACATAGAAAATCAGTCACTGAAAAACACAACTTTTAATGCCTCACTCAACATGTAACATTTCAAAGTTGTGATCTACATAAAGACATATTACCATTTGTCTTCTAAATTTAAGACAACTGAATGAAAAGCCAATCTTTTGAAAGAGTGGCATATAATTAAATATACAACTAAAACAGGAACAGAACTGGATCTGCATACAGTTTGTTTTTAATGATATTTTAAAATAGCCTCCTAACAGGGAAATAGTCCCTATTTATCTGCTAATGGTCAAAAAGGGTAGGGATATAAATGGTACCAGAATGTATCCAAACACTCAGAAAAACTGATTTATGTCTGGCTTTGGAACACCTTAAGCATTGATTCTGTTGTAGATAGTAAAGCCCCATCTCAGTTTATGTAGTCCTGATGTTGGCAGCATGGGGTTTGACTATATGAGCTAAAAGATACACAAAGAGATAAAGCTGTTTCATAATAAACAGGAATTGACTATACAAATAGGTAAACCAGCGTATCTACATGTGTTTTTTAGAGTTTAGGTATACTTTATGTTTACGTTAAAATAAAGCCTAACACCATAGTAGATGTCTCATACTCCATTGGGATGTACTAGGTAATACTGCTTTCTTGGTTGAAGTCATGATAGAGAATTTCATTTTTTTAATTTCATTTTTGGAGACAGAGCCTTGCTCTATTGCTCTATCCCCCAGACTGAAGTGCAGTGGTGCGATCTTGGCTCACTGCAACCTCTGCCTCCCAGGTTCAAGCAGTTTCATGCCTCAGCCTCCTGAGTAGCTGGGATTACAGGCGCCTGCCACCATGCTCAGCTAATTTTTGCATTTTTAGTAGAGACAGGGTTTCGCCGTGTTGGCCGTGTTGGCTAGGCTGGTCTTGAACTCCTGACCTCAGGTGATCTGCCCACCTCAGCCCCCCAGAGTGCTGGAATTAACAAAAACTAAGTTCCAGTCTATATGTTAGTATTAATTAGGTTTACAAAAGTGTGAACCCAATTTTTTTTTTTTTTTTTTTTTTTGAGACGGAATCTTGCCCTATTGCCCAGGCTGGAATGCAATGGTGCAATCTCGGCTCACTGCAACCTTCATCCCGCATGTTCAAGCGATTCTCCTGCCTCAACCTCCTGAGTAGCTGGAATTACAGACGCACACCAAGGCCAATTCTTAAAACATTGAAGGACAAAGCACCAAACTCCTGATAGAAAAATGGAGGAACATGAGCAATTTACAAGAAAACATATAAAATGTTCCTCAAATGCATTTTTTAATTCAAACATAATGTGAGTGAGTGATGGACACATGAATTTGCTTCACTCTACTAACCTTTTTACTATTTATGTGCATCCCATAACACGTTGTGTACCTTAAATAGATATAATAAAATTTATTTTTAAAAAATCAAACATAAAGGCAAATTAAAGCTGTGATGCCATTTCTCACCTCTGAAACTGGAAAAAAATGTAAAATACAGTACCACCACCTACTATTAGTGAGGTACCTTTGTGTTGCTGGTAGAAGTGCAAACTGGAACTACCTTTCTGGAGGGAAACTTGGCAATACCTAATAAAATTACATATATGCTTGCTGTTGGCCCAGCAATCCCACTTCTAGGAATCAATAATTCAATAAAGCAAAAGCTCCATATGCACAAGGTTACTTTCTGCAGCATTTGTTGTAATTAGAAATTAACAGAAATGGGCCAGGCACAGTGGCTCACACCTGTAACCCCAGCACTTTGGGAGGCCGAGGCACGTGGTTCATGAGGTCAAGAGATCAAGACCATCCTGGCCAACATGGTGAAACCCTGTCTCTACTAAAAATACAAAAAAATTAGCTGGGCATGGTAGCATGCACCTGTAGTCCCACCTACTCTGGAGACTGAGGCAGGAGAATTGCTTGAACCCAGGAGGCGGAGGTTGCAGTGAGCCGAGGTCATGCCACTGCACTCCAGCCTGGAGCCTGGTGACGGAATGAGACTCTGTCAAAAAAAAAAAGAAGTTATCAGAAATGACTTATATGTCTGTATATAATGATTAAATAAACTGTACATCCACGCAATGGAGTCCTACACAACTATAAAAAAGGATGAGGAAGATCTTTATGAACTGATTTCATGATTTCCAGGATATATTATTAAGTGAGAAAAGAAAAATGCAAACAGTGTCCACAATTTACTTCATATAATAAAGAAGGCAGTATAAGAAAATGCACACGTATCTGCTCATTTGTGCAGAAGAAACACAGGAAGAATACACCAGAAACTAGTTACAGTTGGGTGGGTACAGGGTGGAAAGTAAGAGGACTGGAAATAGGGTGGTTGGAACGAGAGGAGAATATTACTTCTTTCAGTATACATTTTTGTATAGCTCTGACTCAACTATGGTTATGTTTCACGTAACCCAAACATAATTAAAATCAACCATGAAGTGCGGGAACTCAGTGAAGTACAAACTGTTAATGAATTTGTTACAAATGATAACACCACACTGAAGGGAGTAGGGAAGAAAACCAACATATATAACTTTGGAAAATAGTATTATCACTGTATACTGTACGACAAGACAAAATGAGCTATCACAAAGGCTATCGTTAGTAAAGGGATGGGTTAGCAATGCAAAGCTGCCTTTCACATATACTGAGACTGAGCAAATAAGTAAATACATTGTGTACAATGAGAGCAAAGTTCCTCATCAAAAAAGGTATCGCAAATGAGAAAGGCTAGAGTGAACCTTGTGGTAGTAGGTTGGAATTGAGATTATGAACTCATGGATTGTATATGTACAGATACACTGTGAGTAAACATGTTCTTCAGCTTTGTCTGCTGAGAGGGCCCAGCAGCAATGAGCGTACCAACTGCTCAATACCGGTTTCTAAATAGCAATCTCTAATAAAGGGAGCTAGGGCTCATTAGAAAAATTATTTTCTGGGTTGGGGCAGGGAAATTAGAAAATGAGCCTGGAATATCTTGTGTTGCCAGAGAAAAGTAAGGAATTGTTCATAAAAGGAAGGGGCAGAGAGGAGTCAGACAAAAGGACACTAATAAACACGCTAGAAATGGATGGTAAACCAGGGAGTGAGATAAATATCCATGAGTTTACATTAATATGAATGATTAAGTAAATGGGAAAGGCGCAGCTCTTCCTTATATGCATACCAGTCAGTAAAGAAAGATAAAAGGGATGATGGAAACAGAAAATCTACAACACAGCCACTGTTAAAGGCAGGAATCAATGAATACTAAAATTCATGGGCAAAAGCATGAGAAAGGTTATGTGTACAAGCTGAGTATCTCCTCACAAGCTATTTTTGCGAAAGGAGAAATACTAACAACAGTGGAGAGACCGGGCAGACACCATCATCAAGTCCTCAGGAAGATGTGAGGATGCCACCTAACTTCTCAATGGGGTGCACTGAGAAGAACACGATTCCATGGCATTGTGAAAAATGTGTCACCTCAATCCAGTCATGAGGAAACCTCAAACTCAAATTGAGCAACATTCTACAAAGTAGCCAACACTCTTCACAACCAGAGGTCATGAAAGTTAAAGAAAGAATGAGGAACTGTCAGAGACTAGAGGAGATAAGGAGCCATGGCAACTAAATGCAGTGCACAATGCTGGACCCAGGAAAGGGCATTAGTGGGAAAACCGGTGAAATAGGAATATGGCCTGCCGATTAGTTAGCAGCATTTTAATCAGTGTTAATTTCCTGGTACTGATCATTGTTCCTATGGTTATGTAAGGAATCCCACTTTGGAAGGCCGAGGTGGGTAGATCATGAGGTCAAGAGATCGAGACCATCGTGGCCAACATGGTGAAACCCTTCTCTACTGAAAATACAAAAATTACTTGGGCATGGTGGCACGTGCCTGCAGTCCCAGCAAATCGGGAGGATGAGGCAGGAGAATCGCTTGAACCCAGGAGGCAGAGGTTGCAAATGAGCCGAGAACA